AAACTAGTTGTCCCACGGCTCCTTGACACACTGGATCCTCCATAAACTTCTCCATTATGTCGATTTCTATCTCATCCGGTGAGTACAGCTCTTGTCTTGTCGACTGCGGATTTTCCCTCTCGACACCGGGCCAGTTGGCAACGACTTTGGTGAGATTGGGTCGGAAGCAGCTCATTATATGCGATATTCGCTGGATGTTTTAAAATACAAATTGATTAGACGGTAAGAGTGGATGCCCTTGGAACGCTACGTTAAGTAATGACTTATTTATTATCATGGTCGAGGTGACAAGTTGTTCTAGTACTTAGCTGATATTTACAATGTCGAAGTGTAGGTAAATTATGTCTTACATTTGCTAATTTAGCTCTTGTGTGATTGAAAGAGGACTAAGTAATAATGATGTTAGCTACATTTTTTAGTTCAACCTAAAGAAAACAACTGATTAGCTCGTGTTATGAACTCCCAATGAGTGTAGGAGCGCGGACGCCGACAAGTAGTAAATCAAAGGCGCTAAGGCTACATAAAAGACATCGTTAACGCTGAGCACACTCCCAGTGTGTTCGCGCGCTCCTGCCATGATAAAGTGGTGGTGTGCGCAGGTAGTCGCCGTCTATGCGTATCCACATTTACTTTTGTGAATGGCTCTGACCTTAAAATTCATGAAAGTACTTTGTATGCATCCACGTTGTGCTGACCAATCAGAAGGGCACAACGAGAACACAAATTGGCCAGCGTTTTTTGGGGGTATGAGAATCAAGCCCATAAAAATGGAATTCAACTTTTACACAGTAGCTTCAAGAGCATCAAAATTGGAATGTTTTCTATAGTCGCATACCTGCCCAGCAGCTCACGACACTTAGGAATGAAAGTGCCATTAAAAGAATGACATGTTAATGCAAAAGTGGCACAATAATTGTCTCAAATACTGAAGACAGATAAATACTTAAAATCTCATGTCACCTCGTAGGTTCGTCACACTTTGCGCAAAATGTGTAAAAGATTATTTTTCCACACAGTGGTGTATTTATAATGGCAATATTTTGCGTTAAATGAAGTATCAAACCGAAGTGAAATGATATGACTACCTCGTTGTCTGCAAGCGTAAATAGGCCTCGAGCTCTATCATCAAAGACATAGGCAGACTCCTTGGTGAACGCCTTGAAGGCCCATTCCAGGCGTTCATCAGGAAGTGAGGGGTAGCCCGTGCAGCGTAGACTTAATCCTCCACCGTCATTAAGTCTACTTGGGTTTGAGATCGCCACGGCTAAAATTATACGAATCATCCCAGAAAGTTGGATTGTGACAGTCATGCAAAGTTCCGATGGGGAGCATATTTTACAGCTCAATAAATCAGTCCAACCGGTGCTAGTAGCGCTCGACTATTTTCTAATTTGCCAAATTAACTTTGTCGCGTTTTCATATAAGTATTGATGCTGATAGTAAAGCACTCACCACTGCGGTAGCTAATTTCGGTAGAAGTATGCTGAAGGGCGTGCTGCAGTAGAGTCTTTTGGGGTAGATACTCCTCGTTGGACAGATGAGAGAATTTCTCGGGGAACTCGACGCACGTATAGCGTCCCTGTGCGGTGGGCGTTAGGCGGACACGGAGAATCACCTCGTTTGAGACGTTCGTCTCCTCAATCACCTCTTGCAGCCCGTCCGCTGATGTGGTTACCGCCTTCAACACTGCCTCCGACGACTCCGCCGGTAAGTAGCGGTACCACCGCAATCGCTTCGGGCCCATTCCCGCGGTTAGCGAGGCACAAGTTAGGGTAGTGATCTCACCGAAACGCAGTGTGTCTGCTGATATTACTGGTCGCCTTACAGTTAGCGCTGTAGCCGGAAAGGAGAGGGGAACCATGCTGCTTCACTAGTCTCTCTGAGGTAATACTACGATAAAATGCGCCTAATAAGTTGTAGTGCATGAGCAAGGCCTATTTCTTTCACTTGTTATCATTACGATACACTTCTTATCATAAAATATTTTCAATCCACTTTTTGCTTATAAACCAATTAAAGTGGTAGCCACCGAGTGATAAAATTTGGTCTACTAGATTGGCAAGTTTCATGGAATCGTATCAAATGAACACCAACTTGTGAGACTGTACTTTAACGAAATTAACAATCCCCACTAGAATACAACCCACTGTAATTCAGAATACATCACCTAGAACAATTATATGTAACGTATTCTACCAGGAATCAGATTAACCGATTTATAAACGGTCCTGTTGCATCAGAACAGTAGAGAAGCAATGCTTACTCTCCTTAAAGAGATTCCCTAAATGTCGCTTACGAGCGTACTTAGAGGACCGAAAAGGGGTGGAAAAGGAGGCGAACGCTTGGGGAAGAAATGACCAAATTTCATTTAAAAAAATTGTTTGTCATCATTTTCAAAAGATCAAATCACTAAGAGTGCTCTTTATACAAGGCAATTACTTAAAGCAGAGCAGCACATTGCGAGCAGATTAGGTCCGCATCTTTTGAAAAGCAAAATGTGCTACTTCAAGCGAATTTAGGTTGAGAGATGGTTACTCATATTCTAACATCATTTTAATTCGTCTATCAAACTACGAGAAGACGAGAGAACGGCAACTAGGGGAAGGACTATGCAATGATAGGTTCTTAAAGGAAAGCACTTCGCTTTGCCCGAATGGCAGTCTGTTTAATTTTTTATTATGCAGATCAAAGTGTTTGTGCCCAGAGAAACATCTTTATTAAAAAGCAAAGATAAATTTGATTCTACCAGCGAAGAGCAACGAAAACATTTGCACAGGTGAAAACACATCAATATCTACATTCAGGACAAGTGGACACAGCGAGGTGGCCATTTACGACTTACCTTCCTTAAGACGCAGAGTGAACGTCTCAGGCGCACGCTTTTCTCCCTCATTTGGCTGGAACCAGCACTGGTAGTCTCCGACATTCTCTGTATTCACCTCGGGTAGCAGGAGACTCAGGCTTTGCACCCAGCGCGTTTCTTTGGACGCCGCAGTGTGGTGAGTCTGTAAGACCACCTCGCCGTGGGGTCTGCGCCACTGAAGGTTGCCTTCGCGCTTCGTGGAACAGGTAACTGACACCGCCATGCCGGGGTTCGCCTCCAGCTCGTAGCGGTCAAGCTTGAGGTCTGTTAGGAGAAAAAAAGTGCCTTTGGCTTTGGGTTTGGCTCCGTCTTTAAAGCTGAACATCAGCTTTCTTAGCGGAGAGATATGCTGAAGTTGAGAGTTGAATATCCGAAAAAAGTAAGTATGAGTGCTAGTACTACCGTTTATCTTATGGAAGACCAGCCAAAATAGTCGAAAAAGCTTATGATTGTCAAAACCCTTAAATTTGTAGTACAGAAAACAGTAATTACACGATGTTGTCTATTTAACCACCACTGACACGGTAGAAACTGGGCAAAAACCTGAAAATGGTAAATTATTTTTTCTGCAAAATATCACTAAATACCTGAGCCATTAGCATGTACGAATTTTCTGTTTGTGTTTCGAGAATTTCTGTTGACCGGTGTAGGGATCACAGATTCACCTCTCTACATTAACACATGGACTGTCTGATTAAGCAGCATTTTCATCGTTGAAATAAACATAAAATTTTCTTCCACACAGTGAAATAAAACACCATATACAATGCATGATGTGTAGAGACAAGAGCACATCCCCACCGTTTACAATGAGCCGAAATTCGGCGCAGTGGGGTGGTTTGCCATAAAAGTGTTCAACGGGAGGCTCAGGAGAGCAGCAGTAGACGCCAGCGTGGATATCGTCAACGCGGGGGATACTGAGGGAGGCGGTGAGGAAGCCATTAGCGTCGGGGAAAGCTGCGGTGCGTGAGAAGGCGCCCTCTGGCATTAGTTCACCGTCTGCTCGTAGCCATCGCACCTCTTTCTGAAATTTCGGATCGGTGCCCACTGCCGCCGAGCAGTTGAATAACAGACTTGTTCCAACATCCTTTACAACGTGCTTCTCCGGCACTAGGATCTCTGATGAGAGAGGAAATGCCTCCAATTCAGGTGAGATTTCCACCCTTTACAGTACACTACTGATGTACTACTGAGAAAATCACCACATTGAAGCAGAGCTAAACACTTTAGCTGTTACTCGTGCTACATTTCCCTCAGCTCCTCTGTTCACTCCAATGGATCTATTTCTAGGCGTATTACCTCCGAGAGTACACTGTAAGAAGGTCAGTTTCGTTGAATCTGTAGAGATGCCTAACAGGAGGAGGAACAAAACAGCCTCAAATCTTGGCCTTGAGTCCAACCTCATGTTCTGCATAACGGACGAAAGTCGAACGAGACTGCATTTAAAATAATATAAATCACTCACAAAAAGTGCCCAAAAAATTTGAACTGGGACCTCACATCGTAAGCATAACCTGAATTCTCGAAACCTCTCTGATCACATCCAGGACTGGGGTCAGACAGCATTGGAATGATCACGAAGAGGCAAGAACAAATGACTTCGGCATGCAACTCTTTAAAGATAATTTTTGGTGTTTCGCTTTTACTCTCAAATAACTAGGCGAGTAAAAGTGACTGGTGAACAAAGTGTGCTCCTTGAAGAATATCCTCCCATCTTAACGCTAAATAGGTGGTTTAGTTGCCTGCGCCAAATGGCTCCCTCAATATCACCTACAATAATTTTATAAAACTTAATTTCAGAACTAAACACCTTTTATCGCCTAAAGATGTAACTCAAGTACTGCAGCATGCCGGTGAAGAAGAATTCGCACCTGGTATGCAAGTTATTTCACGACAATCGAACGACTAAGACGGAAACTCAAAGTATCAAAAGTATTCGGTGGAGAAGTTCAAGGCGGGCTATAAACATAGGCTGCTCGAATTTATAAAAAAGCCTCTCCATGAAATACGAAGGACTAACGAACTTCCACAAATCGAATGACCCACCATCAGGAGTAGTGAATGCCGTTTCTGCTGACTCCAAATCGGAAAGAGGTCCAGGATACTTGAGGAAACCCTAACAGATGACTCAAAAGCATTACTTCAACTGTTGTAATGCAAAAAAAAAATAATTAAGACTGTTAGTTTTACCTTTATTCTATATTCACGTCCAGGTTGCAAGTTACTAACTTTGTAGGTGCCGCCTATTCCATAGTTGTTTGGAAAGAGCTTTTTATATTCAACTCCTTCCAAAGGCATTTCTACCTTCCCTTGAGCTAGTATGGCATATGCCGTCAGTTGAAAGGTTGCATCCATCTCCTCAGCCTTCGCATTTTCACAGGGGACCTTTCTGAAGGGTTGAAGGTTGACAGCTTGGGCCCTGGGGACGGAGCTCTTGGTAGCCATGGTAATTGTCGAATGTCCTTACAGTAGCACAAATTAATACGAATTGTTTACTCAAAATACATCAGTAAAATAGGGAAAGTAAAGGCGACGTCAACCGGTGGCATTACCTTGAACGCCGTAGGTGAACATCAGTTGGGAGGGGGTACCGAGCACCGGCTGATTATCATCGAAAGAGAAATACTGGGGGATGATTGTTATTGTGTAATTCGCCAAGATGTCTCGCTTGTTGAGGAGCTGTTCCACACCCCATAGATGAGTAGTGCAACCTCCCGTCTTTGTGCCTGTATTGGCAGTAAAAGTGTGGTTACCCCTCCAAGATTTGGCAACTGCTACTGTGAATAAGTATCGAACCAGTCAACTTAACGGGACACCATAGTAATACAAGTATGCTGATTTACAAATGTCGTAAAATGGGCTATTTTGCCAAACCACGAATGGTACAATTTCTCTACTTGCAGTTGAGGGCAGCCAGGTAGTTTAGCGTAAGATTCTCCATCGTTCCACAACCGATATCTTTGAAGGAGACCAACACCACATACTCCTTGACAGCCGGCCTCAACTCGGCAGAGACAAAGTCCCAAGACAAAATGCCAGTGGTATTGTCGAATTCAATGATAATTTTTTCAAGATCTGTAGGGAAAAACGAGGTGAAAAAACGTTAAGATTACGTTACCGTGGGCAAAAGGGAACAGTTGACTTATCATTCTCAGCCGCCTTTTTGATTACGAAACAAATGGTAGGCAGAAAAATTAAACATTATTAGTGCCTTATGATTTGTTGAACTAGGTCTTATCCGTTACACATTTTTTAGGTAGATTGGAAAAATCTCGACCTATTTAGCGGTCACAAAGAATAAACTTTCATAGCTCCATTTAAACTGCTATTTCATAGTATAGAAGTCTTGCTACCGGGACATTATTAGTGGAGACAGTTCTGAACGCAATTTAAGGTGTATTTTAACACAGAGGAGCCTGAAAAACCAGAAGGAAAACTTACCTTTTAAAGGATGAATTAGGTGCGCAAAACTGGATGCATGCTCTTGCAGGCTCCAATAACACAAATGGGTGTGGTTATCTCCTATATTTGTCTATGCTTGTATAAGGTGTGGCAAATACTCAGAAACAAAATAATAATTAAATATGGAAGTCTTAAACCTTAATTACCACTTTTACCTCAGTTCACCCCGAAGTAGAGGCTTCAAGAATGTTTTGTGCTGAAGGATATGCCATTCCTTCATAAATATCAACAGAGTTACCGCTTTTAAAAGGAGGAAAGATGGAACGTCCTATTTCAGCTAGGCATGCTTCCTCCGGCGCAAAAATGAAAAGAATCGTAAGGGAATTTTAGAAATTACTGGGACACTGAATCTCGGGTATCAAGAATGCCTCTTAAATCGTTTGGCCACCATTCTAAGGATAATGGAACCAAACCAAAGGTGACCATCACTAACACCCAATACACTACAAATTCAGAACCTTATTTTCAATCATGTGGTTAAAAGACCCCTCAAGTACTGCAGACATTAAAGTTGCAAATCAAATTTAGACCGGCATCAAGGAGACATACAGTAATAAAAAAAAACAGAAATTGAGAATTGGTGACAGTATACGCACTTCAATAAAAATCATGCAAGCAGACATTTCAAATCCAGGTAATAGTTAATTTAGTTATAATACTCCCTGACTTCAAGTGTAAAAGGCCACCTTTGGATATTTGAGTAAAATATGGTACTTTTTCCCACAAGTATGCCACTACAGGTTATGCGTCAGCTGCTCTCAGCGGAAACGAACGACAAAGGCGAAAAAATTGCAATTATGACTGATATCAGACCAGTGGGAATCATTTTTAAAACAAATTACTTTAACAGACGTCTTTACGGTGGGTTGGCTTACAGAATGAGGAGCGGCGACATAATTAAGCCTGTACTTATTTGATACAGTGGCAAAAAACTAACGCCATGTGCACATGCACTCCTGAATAGCAAAACGTGTATTCCCCCACTGGTGCTAAAAGAGTGGGCAGTAGAGTGAAGGTACTCGCTGTGGCGAACAGCAAGCAGTATCGTAAATACAATCACGTCTTCTAAATAGCTGATAACCGTCCACATTTAACATTCTTAGCATTCCATGTTTGAAGAAGAAGTAGTGCGCCAAAATGACTGAAGTGCCCGAGCGCAAACGTGGATTCTTGATTACACCCTATCCAAATTGTTTATAATGGGCAATGACTTTCAGTTTGGAGGTGTGCGCCAAACAAGTCAGGCGAAAGGGTAGCACGTGACCGGTACAAACACGTCTAGACAGTAGACATTAATTTAGTTTGTCTATTATGGTAGCTGTGCGTGACGGCTACAACTATGCCGTCTAACAGAGAAAGTGACATTAGACTCGGAGCCTAAAAATAGAAGAACCGATGATGTTTAGTACAAGAGTAGTGTGAGCTATTAAACTCACAGATAGAAATGCATAGGGCGAAATTTGTGGAAGTTTACTTCGGCCAAAGGGCGGATGGTCCAAATGGAATGAATTTCAAATGAAGCTACATTGTTTAAACATTCAAAACCTTTGTAATGAAGTGTAATAACAGTTTCAAATAGAGATGTCGCCATCACCTTAGTGTCTTGATGCTCAGTGACCGACCACACATAGGGAAGTAGAAAGGTAAAATCAGGAAAAAAAAGGATAAGGCTCACTTGTACTAAAATTCACCATATTTTAAAAACGTATTTATCTTTAGGATAAAGTGATAACCGAAATAATAGAGAGAATTGAAGCAAAGAAATGATTAGACGTGCCACCCGGCTTTCCACAAAAGACATAATGTGATCTAGGTTTTATAAGTCGCATTGGTAGGCCTCAAGTTAGAATAAGCAAAAGTTGCACAAAAAATCAGCTAACATTTAGGGCCGCCGCTTTCTTCGAGCTTCGGAGGCACATAGGTGATGGGATAGCTCCCTCTCTCCCTCTCTCATGATCCTTTACTATGCATTCGCAACGTGCAGGTGCATTACCAAGTGGGATTGTACATACACGTGGAAGAATCTCGGGATAGTTGCATACAAGGTATTCGATGGCAGTAAAAGCTGAGCCACAGACATGCAAATGTGGTTGTTTTAATCAAATTCCCTGTATTTGACGTTGATGTGCGAGTAGGGATGCTAACTGGTGCAACCTGAAGGGAGCATGGAGATGCGTTGGTAACTAATTGCGATGGGCAATAGCGAAGGAGTTAAAAGTAAAAGCCGAATTTTGCTTTTACATTTGTACATGAAAACACATGTTACTGCCAAATTTGCTCTGTTGCACAGGAGTAGTCGAATACAGTTAGCCAAAAAGGCAGACAGTAGTGACGGTAGACCACGAAAGCATGTGACAACAAGATGTGGTGAACGAATCGGCGTGTGAAGGAAGTCATAAAACCCGAAAAAGTGGATACCTATATCTACTCGTGGCTACAGAAGACTTCAGCCACAGCACAGTACTGTCAACTGGCTGCACAACGGTAGGCCAATTGAGTAATTCAAAAGTTGTGGAGACGGTCTTCGAAAACGGTGTTTTCCTGATGATCTCTTCCGTAATTAGTTTTACCGAGGTTCCCAGCACATACCAGTCATTCATCTTTCGCAGTCCACTAAACGGCTAGACACCTCATGAAAGGAAAGATTTTAGATGCCTGATCAACGCATAATCTGCAACAAAATTGAACGTAGGAGGTATCATTTTGTACAAATGGTGAATAAAACACGGTCACCAGTCCTGACGGTAAGTACATTAGGTATTCTTTGAGTATCATGGTAGGCACAAATGTTAAATGGAGTTGAAGGAGTGTTTTGACAGGAAATGCCACCATATACAGGGTGACATCATTAACTGTGGGGCGAGGTGTGTTCATCTTTTAATGCCAAAATTCTAATATACACCAAAACAGTGAAATTGTGCAGACTCACCACTGACAAGGAAGTGGGGAGAGCTGTCCTATGATGGTTCAGCCGAAGTGCAAAAAAGCTTTTAAGACCAAAGACTTTTGGACTGAGCATTGTCAAACGCCAACTGCAGTAGCAGAGGCATGTGAAGACATAAATACAGTTTATGCTCGTCGAAGTTAGTTCTTTACAAGTATATGTTAACTCGAAAGTTCTAAGCTATTCAAAGTGTGGCCACAAGGTAGAGTATCTGGATGTTGGTTTTGAAAGGGCAAACTCACGCGGATTTGGAATGCGTATCTTCGTGGACCTCGTGTTCTTACCAACCAAAAAAGCGACCTCAAAGGTCAGACTATTCAAAGTTTTCGGCGCAGTGAAGTCAAACAGGCTTGGATAGCGTTGCTGAGAGACGTTTTTTCTGTTCTCGGGATTCCAAGCCGGTGTTAGCTCAAGGCTGCCTCTCGTGCAATTGAGATGATCCAAAAGGACCTACAGTCAGGATTTGTTAGCAGTTCAAAGGAATGTTTCTTGTTGCATTTTAATGATAATTGCATTTATGGACTGAAGATTGCGTTGAATTGCTAAATAACAAAACTAAACTGTATGGACCTGCTTAATAACTGAAGAGAATTTATTACTGTTTAAGCCTTTTCTGACGTCTGAATTACTTGAACAATGATAAATATCTGTCCACCAATAACAAAAAATGTAGTAATAAAGGATTTCAATTTCCTCTTTAAACTATTTGCATTTAAATAGCTAAGACAATATCCATAATCTCCATAATCAGAATTCCAAAAATCACCCGCCATTGAGCACCTCAAGCATCACGTAACTACGAGGTGTGGGCATTCCAAGCGGTACACTGTTACTGGTATGTAGGCCGATCAGGCTACATAAAATGGTAATTTTTTTGAAGGCTGTGATAAATTATGCGAATGCATTTGCATTCAAAGCAAATTCCTTAATTGCAAAGTGTTTGAACTTGAATTTTATTCGAACATAGATTCATACTAAACAGTGGATGAATGCTGGTTTGGATACAAATTTACTCCTTAAATGCGTCCACTTTCATTATCCAGTCTCGTACAGAGCCTAGAATGGGCACACTATTTACTCAGGCAGGGATGCATTTTTGACACTGAAAGTGAAAAAAAAATAGCTCGCAATCGTTGCAAGAAACACGAAACATGAAACTTACTTCACAGCTGTTTTTTTTTCTAGCAACAGTAACAACAAGCCTTAAGTGACGGGTAGTTTTTAAAAAGCCTACGTTTGCTTTTAATTGTAATAAGCAAAAAGGTGACGAAGGCAAGAAACCTGGGTCCACGACTTGACAAAAGAGTTCTGCACATTCCAAAGGGTTGTATTTCTCACATCTTCTTGTTTTATGGTCAGTATTTCAGAGCGTGTAGTCGAACAATTCACATTGGACAGTAGAGGTCCCGTTCAACCCACCACAGCTACTTCATCTACTAGAAGTACAACACCTACATCCCACGTGTTTAAAATGTCAATTCCATCTTCATGTTGAAGAATAAAAGGTTAAAAAACCGCTCTCCCGAGTAGTAGAGAATTTTACTAACGCTTGGATTGACATAGATTACTCGAGAAAATCCCCGGGAGAGGGGCCTGGGTGATGTAAAATACTAATGGTCACAAGTTTTGACCATTTTATCCAGTGGTTCCGATTTGAAAGAGACCTGCATAACTCACAGGAGAAAGTATTTCAACTTGAATTTCCACACGTATCTCGTCAGATTCAGGAGTGGTGAAGAACTTGGTCACAGAAACGTCGAATTTGGCTGCTTTAAAGGCAAAAGAGACAAATTATGAACAATGAACTCGGAAGACGATGAAGATCCATGGCCATTATTAACATCTACAATTACCGACACTCGCTTCACATTTTTAACTTCCAAAGTCCTGAACATTATGAGACTGTCAAAAACTAGCCACATATTCTTAAAACACTGACCATGAAATTTGAATGAAATTCCTTCACTGAAGCGTGATTATCTGCCTCTATTTTTGTGTTTTTCACTGAATGACTGTCGATGATTGGTGGAAGACCAGGTTCGATATATAGTCCATAAGGCTACTTAGGTTTGTTTCCGGTTTTTCTTCCTAAAAGCCTTCAATGATTTCGAAGTCGATTTGATGAGTACGTGCTGTCGGATATCCTACCCTCTAACTCATCCTTCAGACGCAGTATCCCGGAGGGGATAACATCCAATAAGGTGGTTCGATTGTCCCCCACGATGGCTTGCAATTCATAGCGATAGAAGGTGGAATAGTCATCCAGGAAAAGATTTACAGCCTGTCCATAAGACAGAACATCTATTCTGCTGTAGGCGGGGCTCTTGTTGATTATCGTCTCGTTCCCTGCAAGAGAAGCATTTTTGTATTTAAATTTACAGACTACTTTTCAATTCCCACATAAATGCTCAGTGCTGGCCAGTATAGTAGGTTTTGCTTAATTCTTCTTAAGAACTTTAGCAATACCAGTCAATTTTGACCAAGGAATTTGAGCGTGCGTGTTATTTATCATTAAAGTGATTATTTTCTGCCTAAAGAATACTTCATTTTTTCATCCAGAAAGCCAAGCCAATGCCTAGAGACATTTTTTATTTGCACTTGTCATTCCTTTACGAGGTTAATAGGAATAAGCTGTAATTATTATCGGAAACATCGCTATTTATAACCAGTTCTTCCTATACTTGAGTAGCGAATACCTGGAAAAGAAGAAGCAACAAGAAGTCTGATTGAATCCATGAAAGTTGGTGGATAATTTTGTGTTAACTAGGTCTGCAAAAGTTGGGTCAGAAAATAAAACACCTTTGGAATGTTGGCAAAATCATAAAATAGGTTGCTTGTAATATAAAGGCCCTACGTTGTCAAAGGATTAGTGGTCTTTCCATCAAGTGCCCTTAAGGTGTAAACGGAAATAATTGGAGTCAACAATATTTGAATAAACAAAAAAATGTCTATTTAAGGAGGAACCTTCAAAATAGCAATGTCAGATGGTAGAACAATGAAGTTATGTGTCAATGGCCACTTGAATGGTCGACTTTATGCAACACCTGCCAGCATGTGCAGACATGGAGAATGAGTGCAGCTTTTACCGGGCTCCCTATAGTAAAAGTTATTCCATCAGACAAACCTCTCATTCCAAAGGCGGCTGCGAGGATGGGTGCCGCATCAAGATCACATCCGTGGCTAAGTAACTCCACCTTGACCTCTTCTCTACTAATGGAATCATTGCTTTCTGAATGCAAGCAGTAAACGCGAATGTGGAGAAGAGCATCTGTCTTCGACACGACCCAAGCACGCACTAAATCCAAAGGTTGCCTTTTCACATCTACAAGGAACAAAATTACTGCAGGAAACGACAGAGTTTACTAATATGGGCGTGTGGACAACTGCATCTTAGGTTCGACTAGCAGGGACATTTTATAAATGACTGCACGGATTTCACTAAAATGGAGCACTTCCATATCTTTAAATAGTTAGTTTAAATAAAGAGATTAGCATTTTAGAATTTAATGACTGCACTTGCATGTGTAAATGCACAATCCTGTGCCAGTTCGATTCATTAGTACCAAAGCGGAATAGGTAAGTAAGAAGGAACCAACAGCTGTTCGCAGCAAATGTTTGGGGAAGTACATCGGATACCGTGTTTCTCGAGTCATGCGAATTTTTTCAGGCATTTGATTGTTTAATGCATCAAAAACAACACGTTGTACCCAGCTATTTAAGAATGTCCGCCCAAATACTGCAAAAAAAGATGTGGTATGAATAAAACTTTAAAGTAGTAATTCGATGTAAGCATAGGAGTATCAGTTGGCGGTTGGTGGAGGGGTGATTATCTGGAACAAATAGTCTTGTGCGACAAATCCTCAAGTTATAACCACCTAGTTCGTAACACCATCAAACCTGGAGGTCGCGTCATCAACAGCCAGGAAAATTTTGATTGCACAGACTGTCCAATAACTGTTGCGATCACATTCTCAGGCATACGAATTTGTTCCACTTTTAATGGGATGGGAAGCATGACTGTGCCCGAACCCCACCTAAAGCAAATCGCAGTTTCTTTAAAGAGTGATTTGAAGCATGCTTTTTTTCCCCAACATTATAGTGCTGCAAGCATGCACTTTTACCATGAAGCGTATGTTATATCGTAAGGAAGAAGGGAATAGCTGGAATTTTTAATCACTTTTAAGCAATACTGGCTCCCTTCCTACTTAAGTACATAGACGCGTCATCAAATTTTGGGGGGGGGGGGGTGTGGTACCGACCAATATAATAAGGTCAAATCAGTTCCTTTAACCTATGCATTCCACATCACTTTACAGCCGTATTCAGCATTTTTGTGCGACTATTACTACTGTGTTATTGCCAGCTTTATGGTTGGGTGTACTTTTACACAGAGATTTATTAGTGAATATCACTTTGCTGTCTGGTACA